CTAGAGAGAAATAAATGGCCTTTTTAGAAAATGAACCATCGATAAGGAAATGTTGGCAGTTTTCTCAAAAAATGCTTGAATTCAAGAAGTTTTAGGTTTGCGTGGTTTTTTTTTCAGTTGCAAAATCCACTTAAACATGACGCTGCTTTTTTCGAGGTTTCTCAAGAACTATTCGAGCCACGGAATTGGTTTTGGCATCGTTGGATAGAGAATTGAAAAGTCGATTCAGTCGTAACAACGTTAGTGAGGAAATTCGAGTAGTTTTGAACCAGAAAGCAAAATTTGAATATCAAACACTTATATTATTGATTAATTCCTGGGTTTCATTTATTGTCTTTATTTATCAATTAAAATACGTTTCGGTGTATTTTTATACCATCATCAGTTTTTGTAAAATAACAGATAGCTAAAAAAAAATTTTATTAATTGAAAAAACAATCACAGTTCGTCAACAGCCTCATCATATCACACATTAAAATACATCACAATTGCAACACTTTAAAACATTCTAAAATTAATTAGGCCTAACAGGTGATTAGTCAGGACAATCAAATTTGGGAAGAGAAATATTTTTACTTACATGTGTAGCGTTGTTGCTGCTTTAAGCCTTGGCATACATTTGGAGTATTAATTTTGTCCATTTTGGACACCAAGCGAATAACAGTATTTTATTTTTTTATAACAGTATTAAATTTTCGTAATTTGAAGCAAAGATCGTAATTTTTCTTGTTGAAGGCTTAAGTATCCCAATATGCTTCCAATTAAACATGGAACACTTTCAAAATAATGTTTWATAGCAAAGTTGAAATTCGATTTTCAACTGTTAATATCTTCAAGAAATTATCGAAAAAAAAWTTTCAATATTTTTCTCGTACCGTCCAAGTGAGYCCCTATTACCCCTTAAAAGGAATGACGCCAATTTTGAATCACCCTGTAGAAGCAGTTCGTTTTCTGTTCCTTGGAGCCACGAGGAAACGCATTGCGTTTTTTATTAACTGTGGCGATAAACCCGATTTTTCCAAATGGATTCTAAAAACGTTCCGGAATTTGCCAATTATTTCGAGGTTTGGGGAGGTTTTGGTTTTTTGCAAAGACATCCAATCTAAGGATTCTTCAGCTTACCGACTCTGATTGAATTTTATACATATATTCAAATTAAAAGAGTTCAAAATCGAGTTCATGTGGTTAAGCGGCTGCCGCCCTCTCTTCATTCAAGCACAAACCTGCTCAAACCGAAAGTTCCACCATTTTGAGAAAAAAAGCTTTCCAACCACGTGGAGTTCTCCATTTTGTGCACTTTTCTTCCTCAAATTTGTCATTGTCAAATGTCATGCTTTGACTTTATTTACGCTTATGTTTTACTATTAAAACCCCAATTCATTCATTTATAATTTGGCCTAGAGCATAATTCGCTACTTATCTGGGAGATTAGTGATTCAACCATCATTCCTAATCGTATGATTAATTTTTTTAAAGAATGTCTCCGCTATGAATCATGTCCAAACATTCTGACTTGGTTCCTGCTAGATTTTTGATTTTGATTGCCCATTTTTCGATTTGTGTGTGTTCATTATGGAACAACGAGGAGAGTCTCAAGTCCTGTTCGATGGGCAGCCGAATCGAATCAAACCCCACCCATCACCTTACCGAGTAAGTTCCTTGTCTTAAACAGTCTATTTAGATACTTAAAGATCCTGTTATAACATATCTAATGAATGGAGTGCCAATATTGAGATATGCTGATATTAATCAGTTGCCGTGTGCCTAAACGATAGCATTTAATCAGTTCAAAACTACTCAAAAGCTTGCACTCAGTTGATTGTCTTCAACTTCAACACATTCAAGCTGTTACTTGTTACAACTAGTCCTAGACATAATCAGTCTTACCCACATTGTCTCGAGTTGAAGTTGTTAAATTCAAAACATGCAACATACACTTGTTTACTGATCTGATGATGGCTTAAAATTCGAAACGTGCGCAAATTGAATAGAAATGTGATGGTTAATTGACTCAAAAATCCAGAGATCTCGGGAAATTTTAACAAAGAAACCATGAAAAAGGCACCACAAAAAAGATGTTCCTACCAACAAGACGAAACTTCATTTAAGTGTCATGAAGTTCAATTCAACTTCGATCCTTAAAAACAATTTATCAACGTTCACAGGACAATTTTAAAATCATAATCTAAATATTTCAAAATTTCAGATCAAATCATCGCAACAGTAGCAGGAATAACTCAGTTGTAAAATGTTAAATATTTCAAAGAATAATCACAAATATTTGCCAGTAAATTTTACCTCATGATGGTTTAAAACCCGAAGCGTAAACAATAAAGCATTTTAATCAAGAATCAAATGAATAGAAATTTGCCTGTTAATTGACTTAAAAACCCAGAGATTTCCAGCCATTTTAACGAAAAAACAATTAAAAAAACCGCACAAATCTACTTAATTTCAGAAATCTCCGATCTTAATTCAATTCATCCTTGATTCCTAACAACCAAATTATTTTCCAGCGTTCTACGGTCTAGTAAATGCATTTCTCTCTTCTTGAATTAAGTAAGAACCGAAAATCGAAGATGTGAATGATACAAATTGGCTTCGGCACCAACCTTTTCAAAGATATTTTTAAACCTAAATTTCCGTAATTGTAGAAGAAAATGTAAATCTTATCATCAAAATCGCTCTCAAAACCATACGTTTAAAATGCATTGAAGTCATCAGTTTCAGGCAAGGAAAAAATTATACAATTGAAAACTCTTAAAGCAGCGAACATCAAAAAACACTGTTTTAACAACTGGAAAAATCCTAAACCCTCAGAAAATAAACGTGTTTACCGTTTAAAATGTTGAAAATGTTGAAATAAAATGTTTAAAGCGTTTTAAGCAGAGTCAAAAATCAAACTAAATGAAACGATGAAAACGAAAGAAATAGTGGTTTAGGAGGAAACCATGAAGTTTGAATCTTTGAAGGTTTCTCAGTTGAAGCATCCAAAAACTGTTAAGAATTAGTGTGTTTTCAGCTCGTTGGTCCTGACTACAAAATTCTAGAAACGGCGTTTGATTACGCCAATTACCGGTACTTAAATGATCCCCCTGAAATAAATTCGCATGCTTTTTACTAACTTCTTCATCCTCATTGTTGTTGTACCTTTTCCTTTTCAGGCTCAAAGTCGGTCTGAGTGTGGCTGTGGGGTTGATCTGCCTCGAATTCCTTACATTCATATGCGGTTTTACTATGTTTAACCCGACGTCTGCTTTACTGTGTATCCTTTTACTCCTAACACTCACGTCTTTCACTAGGTGATTTGTCCTGGGAAATTAATGCTTGCTTTGTTCCATAACATCATGTGTACAAGGTGTTTGGTCAACGGTTTAATGAAAAAAACTGCTTTTTTTAGACCAACGTTGCGGCTAGATTTTAGGCTAATGGGGCTAAAATGCAGTATTTTTTCGCAAACCTTTGACCGAAAACCCCTGATTATGGTTTCGAAAATGGATGGTTTTCGTCCAACGGTTTAGGAAAGAAAACACTGCTTTCTTGGTCCGAAACGTTGGACCAAAATACAGTTTTTTTCTTCACTAGATTAACATAAAATGTTCCTTAACTAATCTATAGCAATTTGTGGCCATGCTTTGGCTTGCCTAACAACAACCCTCTTTGTTATTGATGGCTGGCAGTGTGGATGGTTTTGGTGGATATTCGCATTCGGTTCGGCTATTCCCGTTTTATATGATGCCCATTTGGTTATAGTTTCACTTATCCGGAAAACTTGGTAATCTAGTCATGCGACAAGATGCAACTTGCACGCTTTTTGTAACTACTCTTTGTGATAAAATAAAAATGTTTGCTAATGAAAAAAACGCGTTTTTCGCTGCTCCAACTCTGTTCCTTAACTATTTCTGGAAAAATGGGCTGAAATAAAAGATGTGTGGCTTAAAGAACAGGCAGGTTTGTTTGGTGTAGCCACTGCAACCTAAAAGCGTAGATGATTAAAAGGGGGTATTGTTTAAGGACATTTCGGTTGAACAGCCCGGATGGACAAGGCTTCTAGTATTGGCAGGAATAGTTACAGTTTTGGGCTCTTCGTCCCCTGTGGGTTACAACATCGGAGTAATAAACACGCCCGGGTGGGTCAGTATTTTTTTAGAAGACGGTATGGCCTGATCATTACGCCGTTTAGTTGTTTGTAGGTAATCAAGCAGTTTTGCAATGAAAGTCTCATCGCGCGGTACAACTCCACCTTAACCAGCAGCCAACTGGACATCATGTGGTCTTCCATTGTCTCAATTTTCCTGATTGGAGGAACGATTGGCTCATTATCCGGGTCTTTACTGGCAGACCGGATAGGGCGGAAGGGCGGCTTGGCAGTTTCCTCGGCACTGGGAGTAATTTCCGGCCTAATGTTCTGGATATCCAAAAGCGCCAACTCCTTCGAACTCCTTTTCGTTGGCAGGACTTTTGGTGGCTTATCTGCAGGTGCTGAATTGAAGTTTCGTTTTCAATCCAATATTTATTTGTCGCCTTAGGATTAATCACCACCATCATGCCGATGTACTTAATGGAGCTGGCGCCTCCGAAGCTCAAAGGAGCCGTCGGGGCTCTCTGCCCTTTTGGTATAACGTTCGGGATTTTAATCGGGCAAATATTGTCAATGTATAAAATACTAGGTAGGGAACAGTGGGTGTAGATCTGCAAAGATCCTAATAATTTTTTCCAGGAAACGAAAGCTCTTGGCCTAGTTGTTTAGGCTTATCCTCCATCCTCCAAGCCGTATGTGCCTTAGTCATTCCGGTGCTTCCGGAAAGTCCTAAATATCTTTTTGTGATTAAAAAGCAACCTTCTTTGGCCGTCAAAGGTAAGCCCAAGTAAGTCGTATTCTTCTGATAACCAGACCTCAAATTCCAGAATTGAAAAGAATCAGGAACACCAATGAAGAATCACTGAGCGACGAAGTCGAAATTCTTCGGCTGGAAGATCAGGAGAATATCAGACAGGGTGATACGTGGAATATTAAAAAAGTGTTGCAAACCAAGACGCTTCTGCTTCCATTGCTTTTAGTGTGCGCTTTACAAGCCGGACAACAACTTAGTGGAGTTAATGCTGTAAGTAAAGCTACGGTCACATTGCAAGTGATTTCGCGAAAATTATTCTTAGTTGTATATACTTTCCTGACTGTGTTTCAATTCCAAATCAAAATTCATTCCTGGGTTTCAGTCATTTATTGTCTCTATTTATCAATTAAAATACATTTCGGCAAAATGCATGCCAAGGCTTAAAGCAGCAACAACGCTACACCTCAAAACTGATGATGGTGGAAAAATACATCGAAACGTATTTTAATTGATAAATAGAGACAATAAATGACTTAAACCCAGGAATGAATTATGATTCCTAGTGAAAAAAGTAGAAATTACATTACTGGAAATTTTGCGCACAAAGTTACAAACGGAAATTCGTAGCTGGTTAAACTGCTTATTTTTGGACAACGAAATCATCAAGCAAAGTTGTTATCAAGAATTTTAAACTTCACAAGCGGCCAAAAAAAGGCTTATCCAAACTATAAAATGTACTTCTCATTTCCATTTCAATAACGTTTTGGATTCCTCAGCATCACAACCTGATGCAGACTCAATTTTGAAGCGAATTTGCTCTCAATAATACCATGCTATTCTTGAAGCGATCAAATCTACTTCTAGAACACCGGAACTCATTTTAGTACCCATTTTCCGAAAAATTGCAGTCAACTTTAAATGATTGAAACAGTAGATTCAGGCAATTATCAATGAAACTATTGCAGGTTTTCTATTACTCTTCGGTAATATTCAAGCGAGCTGGTCTGTCCACTTCAAGCAGCGAATTGGCTACGATTGGGGCTGGTTGTTGCAACATTTTCATGGCCATGATGTCGGTCCAGACGATGTTATGGTTTAAAAGACGCACAATCCTTCTGATCAGCCTGGTCTTGTCCGATCTGTTCCTGATAACTTTGGGCATATCCATCGGGTATATCGTAAGAATCGCACGTTTTCCATTGGATCGAAGTGTTAAATTGAGCTGATAATTCCAGGAATCCTTCCACTGGATGCCTTATTTATGCATCGTAGGCGTGCTGGGATATGTATTAGCCTACGGTTTGGGACTGGGACCAATTCCCTACTTTATTGGCTCGGAATTGTTCGAAGTCGGACCCCGTTCCAGTGCGATGGCTTTGGGAAGCATGGCAAACTGGGCTGGAAACTTCGTGGTCGGATTGACTTTTCCCATTATGGAAGCCCATTTGGGTGCCTCTTCCTTTGTAATTTTCGCCCTCGTTGTAATCGTGCTGCTCTGTTTTGTAAAGTAAGCAGCGGATCGATTTTGAGCGGATCGGCGTTTTATTCTGGGCTTTTTCCAGGATTTACCTTCCAGAGACCAAGGGAAAAGACGCCTGCCAAATTTCCCGCCTGGTGGAGCAGGGATTGAAGTCCAGACCCTTGGCAAAAGTCGATCGACTGAACGAAAACGGCAATATGGAGCTGAAGGTTTTAACAGAGAAAACTTACTTGTAACAGACTAAACTCAAAACAGGAGAAATCAACATTGTCTTCTTTTCGGGTGTTTTCTATTTTTCTATTTGGAGCCAATTTGGCACATCACATAATACTAATGGAACAGTTTCACCTGCAAGAACTGTTCTTTTCCTAGTCGTGGGTTGTTTACGGTCCTCAGCACAAACTCCATTTTTATATGTACGCTTGTCTAAGCCTGCATGAGTGCATCAACAGTGAGTATCTGCACTTGACAAAAGAAACTTTAGTAGAAGTTAGATTGGGGAATTAGTTAGGTAGGTACTAACTAACTTATAGTAGCGAACGGGTATTGGTTACTTACTGCTAAAACTATTTAAAGTTGTTGTCTTTTATACTAAAAATGTGTGTGGTTGTAAACTATTTAGACCATTAAACGATTTTTATAGTTCAATTTGTTTAGAACAAAGTAAATTTAAAAAATTGTGGAACGAGTAAGTTGGTTTATAATATGCTGACGAAGACAATAATAATTCGAAAAACAGTATTAATTTTAATAAAATAACTATTTTGTGATCATCATCTAAATTTATTGCTTCTTGAAGAATGTGTGCGCGTTTTTTACATAGTTTTTCTAATTTGCTGTTTTTATGAGCTGATTTATTTAGAGGCGACTACCAGCGAAGTCATAAATATAAAAAAAAAATCAGTTCAAAGAACATTCGTCTTTTCATTCTTCTAGAGGCGTGTGATCATGTTCTGGAGTTAAAATCACTTGCTTGGAAAGGGAGTTTTTAAAACAATTTTTATTTCGATTGATATGGATTTCAGCTTCAAGATACAACTGTTCGTTATTACAGGTTTGTGAGAATATATACTGAATTAATGCTGATGAGTTTACATGCTATCTGTGAAACTAAAGAACATTATGTACCTCGTAAGCATAATTAGATATTTCCTTATGCTTAGCTGCGAAATAGAATATCATGGAAAGTTGGCTAAATAGGATATCATAACTGTGGAAACTTTTTTGTGCCTATCTCTTAGGGGTTAAGAATCCTTGATAAAGCCTCTAAGAAGAAACTAACTTAAAAACGTTCTATCTAAGTGGTTTTTAGGACTCTGCTTCTCTACAGCTGTTTGAGATATAACTTCGTATGCACTAAAAATTTAACATTTTTGCTTCTAACTGTGAAAATATCTCACGAAGTCTAGTAGTAAAATATAGCGCAAAAAACTGTTTATCAAAAAGGCCTTAATTATTTTTGCGATAGTTTCAACGGTTTCCCAGCTATAAGTGAAAATATGCAACTTTCGCGATACGATTTTAGCCCTAACTCGATTTGCCTTTTTGCCAAGATCTTGGGATTTTGGGGCCACCTTTTACAAAAAAAGGCATTTGACTCGATTTTTGTTCCTTCTTAAGTACAGTTCATCCTTAAAAATATCTAATAAACAGGCAAATACATGGGGGTGAGTAGGGCTAGTGAAATAATTGGGGCTCTTTGGGATTTTTCTCAGTGAAAGTTAATTCTTTTAATATTTAAAATAAAATAATACATAAGATATCACAAAGCAGAAAATTACGTAAATTTGCAGGCGTAGACAAATTGCAGCATACATACTTGTGAGTCAATATATAAAAAATAGATATACTATGTCTTATATGTATATAATAACTTCATTTCTATCACAGAACCTAATTGGTTCAAACCCGCTTATATCATGCACAAAAAGCTGGTGCACGTAAGGCAAAATAGTGCTCCCAATGAAGGCAAATTCCTGGAAAAAACTCCAGTTTTGATAACCAACTAGATGAGTTTTTCCTGTATAGTTTCCAACGTTGTCACCACATCGGCCATCACAGGCCTTTTCTTTTTATCCTCCAAGCACCTGAGTGTGACCAGGTAAAGCTCTTCGGCAAAATTGATCTCGTTTTCCTCCCATGTTCCAATGGACTTATCGAGAATCGGAGCGATGGACTGCTCGCATTGGTCTTCCACATAAGTTACCTGTTGTGCAGAAAACACTTGTAAATCGAGTAGACGAGCTCGGCGACTGATTACCAAATCAGCTCCTTGCCGGTTGTAGTCGAGAGGCGCAAGCGAAGTCAACAGCTCTAAAAGAACAACGCCGAAACTAAAAGTATCCAGCTTGATTGAGATGTCGCCCCTATGATATTCTGGCGACATATAAGCTGAGGTGCCGCAAGGCGAAGTTTCTACAGCTGTTAACTGCCCAGGCAGCAGCTTTACTATGCCAAAGTCGCACAGCTGTAAAAAATTACTGCATTTGCAACAATTCCTGTAAACCCCATAGAGCACATACTTTGGCATTATTGTCGCCATCCAAAAGAATATTTGCCGACTTGATGTCTCTATGTATCAAAGGTGTGGAGAACGCCGTATGCAAGTAGGCTACAGCCCTGGCTGTTCCCAAAGCAATTTTTACCCGTTGCTTCCACAACAGCGTTCCTGGATGTTTCTATTAAAATTTCACCATTATTCGACTGGATTGTTTGAGGAACCTGACAATTTACCTGCAGGGCATCGAAAAGCGAACCTCCAGGCACATATTCGTAAATCAAGCAGTATGTACAGCCATCACACGAATATCCCAGTAAAGACACTAAATTGTCATGTTTATATTTGTACAAAACTTCCACCTCGTTCTTGAATTGTTTAGTGACCTGGTCGCCCTCACTTACCATCTCGACGTTTTCCAGAAAAATTTTCTTCACAGCTACAGGCTTATCCAGCAAGCCGGTAGCCAGAAAAACTGAACCAAACGCTCCAGCGCCCAGAAACCGACCGCTTTCCTTAGCGGAGGAAAAATTTTCAGTAGCCACTTCCAGCTGGGCATACGTGAAGTGAGGAAGCAGAGTGTTCAAGGAGAGGTTTGGTAAAGGTGAAGAACATTTTGCTGAACTCGGATTCGATGAACTGGACTTGGAACTCTCATTGCTGGACATCAGCATATTGAAGTCGGGTATTAATTCGGAATCTTCTTTTACTGAACTCTTGTTCAATATGCTCAGAGCCGGGATAAGATCAGTTTCATAAGGTTCGTCTGATGTATTCAGATCGTCTTCTGTAGCTGATGACTGGGTTTTATCAGGATCTAGTAGCAGTTTACTGAAGACTGGGATAAACTCCGAATTGCCATTTTCCGTTTCAGCGGCTGGCGCCTCTGATTGATCTGAATAAAAATAGAACTACTTGCTAAAGCGATGGGATGATGGACGTGCAACTACCGTGTGATAAAAGGGCAGATAAATCAGGCACTACTGCTGAGAGCTCAGAAGAATCATCGCTAACACTGTCCAGGGAAAACTTTATCATGTCTGAGACTTCAGGGGCCGGAGGGAATTGGGGCTTTGCCCTTGGCACTACTAGGGGAGGCTCCAGCGGATCTGGTTTAGACTTCACTTCACTTACCACTATTTCAGGAATTACCTGAAAACAACGGTTGCTTCCCAAATTTTCAGTGAGTCCCACTAACTTACTGGAACGAGATGTTTGACTTCAATGGATTTTTTCCTGATTTTCTGTATGGCGATTTGAGGATAATTCAGCTCATCCAGCTGCTTTTCCACCTCAGCAGTAGACGTATCAAGATGGGGCTGGATCTCGGACAAACTTGTGGGTATAACAGCAGCAGGCCCATTAGCTGGTCTGACTGGCGGATCCTCGCCTAACAGTTTCGCCAAATAATCCGCGGCTCGAAACAACTGGGCTTTGGCCAGAAGATACTTCAAATGCCCCAGCGAAGCCCTCGGCCGGCCCGAAGTGCCCCATTCATCAAACAAAATTTCGCTGCAAGACCTTTTATACTGAATGCCTCCCAGCTCGATTATTCTACAAGAAGCGTCCAGATATACGATGCTGAAGATGGCCAGTTGAAGCTAAGCTTACTTGAAATGTTCCGAGTTGTATTTGGGCAAATTTGTGGGGGATATGTCGCTTTTGTATCCGTTGGAGCTGAGTTTCTTGGGGATAATGGCCATTAGCCGTTTCCAAGAGTCGGCATAGTCTAGGATTAAGGCCAGCTCTCTGATAATGCTTGGAGGCAATTTGCGTATTTCAATCGCAGGGTTTGCGATTTGGTTTAAGTGAGGTTCCATTTCAAAGGTCTTGAAATTTCTTTTTTGCCAACCGGAGCTTTTCACGCCAAAAAAATAATTATTGCATAAGTTATATTTATAGTCAAAAAATGTAATTTTTTATACATTCTCAGATTTGCAACTGTGTAACTAATGGCGATTTATTAAAGTCTATCGTTTGTGAATTAACAGGGGAAAATTATCGAGTAGGTACAGCCTGGTTACTTATTAATAGATTTCAATAGTCAATTTCAGTCACCGAAAAAAACGGAAATTTTTGGAGACATTTGTGGACGACTGAATCGACTTTTCAATTCTCTATCCAACGATGCCAAAACGAATTCTGTGGCTCGAATGGTTCTTGAAAAACTTCGAAAAAACCAGCGTCATGTTCAAGTGGATTTTGCAACTCAAAAAAAACCACGCAAATCTAAAACTTCTTGAATTCAAGCATTTTTTGAGAAAACTGCAACATTTCCTTATCGATGGTTCACTTTCTAAAAAGGCCATTTAGTTCTCTTTGGAATTATGTAAAAACGAGCGTTCTTGCTCATTTTGCTTCAGAGAAACATGCAAAACGGGACGGAAAACATGAAATTTTGCAATAATCTTACGCCACTTTCTAATTTCATAGACAACAGAAGACTGTATTTTTTCTACATAACCCTCCCCTGAATTTAAAGCTGGATCCGCTCCTGACTGGGTGTTCCATTTGAAAATCTAATAAAACTGTTCAACCACTTTCAAATTGCCTCAAAGTTTGAGTTTTATTTATTCAAATGTTTTGCATATGCTAAATGCACCAGAAATCACTTGAACTCAAATCTTAAAAAGGCGAGAAAGACAGATTGAATTTATAAAAAATGATTCAGAAACACAAATAGATAAACCTTCTTTTTTTTAGTTTTGAACTTTCACAGCCCTCCAGTACATACAGAAATAGAGGCATGATTTTCTGAGCCGAGTAAAAACTAGTTAAAGTAAAAATTATATCGCTTGTAGCAAAAGTTGAATTATTCATAATCATTTCTCTATATTGTTGATTTTATGCAAGTTTGTGATATTTTGAAGAACAATATTTCATATAAAAACCTCTGACGTTAATAAAACAATTACTCCAGCCACTAAAGCCCCATAAATGTTTAGAAATTCTTGCTAAACTTGGAATTAATTAATCAATGTGTAAAGCCTTACCTAGGGGCTGCTTGATTGCCTCTATCGACGTTCAACACTAAGAAAAATGCATCTAAACAAAGTAGAAGAAAAACAAGCTTGAATTAACAAACAATTAAATGTAATTAAAATTAATCAAAACAATAAATATTTTACGGTGGTGTAATGGTTGTAATGCGTGCTCTTCTTCTTTACCACCGATTCTAGAGAACTTGGGATTCTTCTATCTGTCTCTAGCAGGGCAATGTGTTGAAGTAAAATACTTAGAATATTTTTTTATTGAAGTTAAGAGCTAAAATTCAAGAGTAGAAATAAGAAAAAATTCTGAATTTTCAGATTTGATTTAAAAAAATGTATTCTTATTATTAGAACCTATGCTACTTTGGAAAAATTAGATAACCTTTCTCTCATTTCTCTCGCTTTCAGACGTGTTCTCTGTTTCTCGTGTATAAATTGTCATTTCTGTCAAATGGCATAATAATATAAACAATAATAAGATTTTTTCTTTATTTATTAACACACAAAACAATACTTGAACAAGGGAAGAGTTACATTGATAAAAATGCTCTCATCAATGGTAAAAGAGCATCATGCAAAACAAAGTGTAAAAAAGGAAATTCAAGGTGCGTTATAACAGTACTAACATTTAACATTTATTCGATCTGTAAAAATGTGCGATTGTTATAAACAAATTGTTGATATTTCCAGAAAGCAAACGAAAGGAGGCTTGTGCGGCTGCCAGCGACATGACCCAGGCTTTAGTCGATCACTTAAATGTAGGGTAAGTTCAAAGGAACCAGAAGTAACAAAGTCCTAGAGATTTGCAACTTAATGGCCATTTGATCTATCCACCGAGATGGAGGCTCGATGGATGTAATAAAGTTGAAAATGTTTCAAAAACCTCTACATTAGCTGTTATTACAAAAGAGCAAAGTTGTCAAATTATAATGATGATCCATCGAAATTACTATGAGGCGCGATTGATTGAATGTGAAGAGTTTGGCCTTCCTTTGGCATTTTTTCACATTTTTTGCAGCTTTTCTCCAAATTAATCGTTTCACTAGATTAGCTTGGAAGCAGTGTTTTAATAATTTGTTCCCTGATTTAAATAAATACCGATTTTCAGATGTGTGTCAACCTCAGGCACCCCCAGAACCGATTTCGAACCACCATCTTGAAACCTGTATTTACTTCCATATATTTTTGTGCAGATAATCTGTCTTAAAATGTGTAATTAACTCTTACTCGTTTTCTCTGCAATACTTAGTCCCTTCCATAGAATCTGCTACCAAACATGTTTACAACGTTGCCCAGCTGCCAAAGTACCCCCAATTACTCTGTAGGTTTTCCGAAAAACAAGTAAAATGTAAAAATATTCACTCTACCAAAGTAGTAATCCTTTGAGCATCAATTGCTAATACAAGCACTAAATGCAAAACTACTGAAAACAAATAGAGCGTAGCGAGGTACATAAAGTTGGTGATTTCCAGAGTGGCTCAGGCCTACTTAAATCAGAAGAAGTTGGACGCTGAGGCGAAACAGCTTCACACTAGCGCCTTGGCTTTCTCCAAGCAAACGCAACAGTGGCTCACCTTGGTCGAGTCCTTCAGCAGTGCTCTTAAAGAGCTAGGAGACGTTGAAAATTGGGCGAAAGCCATTGAGGGCGATGTAAGAACGATTACAACCGCTCTGGAAATTGTGTACAAAGGCTCTCAAGATCAGAGCAGTAGTAGTAGTCAGTGATTCGGTTCCCAATGGATTTGTGTTATTTTTTCATAAAGTTTAATTTATTTTTACTAGTGTGTTTCTCCAGAACTGCAACTTATCCCAGCTCCCCCAACTCCTTTAAACTGTTATGAGGATATATTGACAATTGTTACACACTCATCTTACTCCAGAAGTAAACAACTGCAACAACTGCGGTTGATCTCCAATGAGTCTAATTAAGGAGTGAATCCGTTGTGCAGTGAATTCTTCAGTGGTTTGATCGCCTGCCTTCGACTGCATTTCTCCCACAATCTTGCATCGATTTGTTGGGCGCTTTGATACTCTTCTAACCATCTTCCCTGATTCCATTGAATTATCATTGCTGGGAGCTTTTTTTTATAAATCTCCCTACTCACTTCTACTCCTTTGGCTTAAAGGCGTCATGGTGCTTTTGGCGTCTACAGTCTTGATGCGGTCCCCTGAAAAGCGTTCCTTGAAAAACATCGGCTCGTTATTAAAAGAAACTGTGGAGGGCGTCGGTGCATGGTCATCCAGATTGATTATCTGGATGCGGGAGATTTTCACTGAACGTTCATCGTCGTGGAGTGAATCCACTTTGGAGGATCGCCTAGTGCGGGTCGGCTCATTTTCCGAAATCTCAAGCATCCCTTCCATGCGTTTACATCGAGTACAGCACGTTCCTAAAATCGTGGTTAGTCTAATTTTTTTACTTTTGTTTGGCTTGTTGGGTGGCTACCAAAAAACCCTGTAGACGTTGGAAGTTTGTCGGATTTTTTCACTTCCTTCCTCTGGCAAATCAGTGAAGGAATTTTCAGTTTTTGCAACGACTCCTTGAGGATTTCCACCGAATTTCTAGCAGTTACCAGCTTGGAAGGAGTCGGGTTCACTTCATAAGGCCTGTCTTCCAAGGCATGTCTTGCAATCTCCAGAGAATCACGCGGGGAGGCTTCAAAGTTGCTGGAAGATTGCATTTTTGCTATCTCAGGCAATCGCATTATTATTGAGTCCTTTGTGGTCACTGCCAGGTTTTTGCCGCTGGGAGGCTTAGGAGCTTCAATGGAAAAACATTAGCAGGCTAATGTAGACACAAAATAGCCTGCCTACTTAATGAGAGTGGAGAGTGAGGTTTGTCCTGCATGCGAGCAGGTTTTGGTTGAGGTTTTTCTTGGAAATTGGCCGCAGATGTGCTTTTTTGCCTCTTCTCCAAAAGCAGGTCCAGAGAGTCACGCGCTGCCAGCAGGTTGGAGGCGGACATCAGCTAAGTAAGATTTTTTGTTAAAACAGTCGGTTTTTTCAGCCAGATTTGCATGTAGGTATTACTGGCTGGATGTCGATGTCGTTTACACAGGAAAACTGATGAGGCTTCAAGGAGCTTTTAATGCTCAGTTTCCTCGATTCCATCGACGTTCTGGTGCTTTTAGTCACTGCTCCTTCTGCCACGAATTGCACGGTCGATTTATTTGACCTACGCCTAAGATGATGATAGGATTGCGAAAATTGATTTGTTGTGGTCCATTGGACTCTAAAATACCGTTCAGACTGAAGAATCATATTCTCGTCCAGTCGCTCCGATGATTTGTCCTTCATCTCCACCACTTTTACCATTATCGACTCCTTATCGAAACTCTCGGTTGGAGTTAAATATTCGACGCTGTCAGACTTGGGGGTTTCTTCCAACATTTCCGGCGCTCCTTCCGCTTGGTGTCGCCAATTTTCCACCAGAATCTCCACATCTCTGTTCCACAGTTCATTGCTGGGGGAAAGCGACACTCCACCTGCCAGCATGTCGCGAAAGTCTTCTCGAACGTACGTCTTGTTTTTGAAGTATATTGCCGGAAGTGTGTCGTTTTCATCTACAAAAACTCAGGGAAACTTTGAGGACATTCCAGATTTTTCACCGGAAACTAAAGGACCTAATTCTGATTTAACTGGAGGATTTAGCTCGCGAAAGCATTCGTGATTGTCGTGGATTTCCAGTGTGGATAACACTCGGGAGATGGACTTGGGTTTGCCCACTTCCATCCAGGGAATAATGCCGGGGGCTTCTTTAGGCGATTTGATTTCTGAAATTTTGTTTGCTAAACTCCTGCGGACTTCTAGAGGAATTTAAAGCTTACTAGACTGAGTGACTTTGTTGGTAAGTTCGAACACCATCATCTTCTCGACCGACAGCAGAAACTCCGCTTGGGCAGGCGCTGAGCGGAGCGCAAAGTTAATGAACTTCTGGAACTGTTTAATCACCTCCTTCAAGCAAGTTTCCCTGATGGAAACCTCCACTAGCTGCCGGTCTTTTTCAGTGGCAACCGTTTCCAGCAGCTGCTCCCGTTGTCTAATCGTCTCCTCCAGCTTGCTGATTTCAGCTTTGTAATGCTTCTCCAGCTCCTCCTTTTGGTCGCAACATTTCTGGCGCTCGGTGCAAATCACGTACATCATATTCACTAAGTTTGTGCACTCCAGGTTGTGTTTCAGCTGGCGCAGCGACTCGTTGGTTTTATGGGTGGAGAGTTGGGCGTCAAATTCTCTGAGAAGTTCCTTTTTCCTAGCAAATGATTTCAGTGAAAAGTCGCCCCATGGTGAATGATTGCGCATTTTACTTCAACTCTAGCTTGAATATTTCCGTTAGTCTTCGTTCCTGGTCATCCAGTTGGGCCAGGTACATTTTGGTCATTGATTGCACGGTTTTCTGCACTTCCATCTCCAGGGCGTCCTCCCATTTGGATTTCAAGTAGCTCTCGTGATTGGCGATGATTTGCTCGTATTGTTCGCGAATGTTTGCCTCTAGTTTGTCTAAAGTCGCTTAAAAATAGAGAGGCACCGTTTGGAGGAAGAGGTTCAAACCTAATTCGTCTTTGAGGAGAATTTCGAACTCTTGAGACTGCCGTTCCTTTTCCATTTGGCACGCCAGACGCTCTCTAATTTCCACGTCTTTTACTTCGGATTTCATGCGGTCCTCCACGACTGTGAGAAGCTCAGATTTGTACTTTTCCAGAGCTTTTTGCTTGTCCAGCTCCATTTCTTGCCTGAATTTCCTTTCTAACTCCTGGCCAATTTCTGCAAGATTTATCACTATTACGCAAAAGGAGTTCGATGAGTATTAACCAGGTGCAACCTAGAATCCCTTTGTGCGTTAAAGCCTGCAGGCATTTTGGAGTAAAAGGCGGTTTTAAGGCGATTTTTCCTATCAGCAAGTCGCTGGGTGATATCCAGAGGATATCACCAGGACCTTGCAAGGGATTCTTCAGTCCAAAGCCTTCTTTTAGAGCATCTTCGCATTGTTCAAATACTACCTGGGAGAGAGTGTCTCCTAAGTTTTTCTAATAAAAAGGGAATGAAAGATTCATCTGTAAGATGCGTATTTTTGAGGTGATTTTAAGCAGATTACATGAACTGATGTCGAAAAAATTCGGTCAAATCAGTCGATTGTTTAATGGCGGATAGAAAACATTYTGCGATGAGCTCMGCGAATTTTGAAATCGCACAGTTTTTCCAGCTTTCTGTGGAAAGTTGTGGTTTTTYGCAAAAAGAAATATTTCTTTCAAGGTTTTCTTGCATTTTACCGGCCGGTGGTGTAATTTTGGCATAGRAAACGCGATTTTTCGAATTGACAGCTTTAGACTGGCGCTTGCCTCTCTATAGAGTCTATTTGGAGTCTCAAAGTGAGTTTTGAAGWTGATTTGATGTGAYGAAACTTACAGCTTAAAGGTAAATATGGTTAGTTTAAAATTTMTTACTTGCACAGTTGTTCTTTGAAAAAAAAATTAAGAAAACCTTTAGGTAATTCTTCCAACACTTTGAAGTTGTTGTTTCTGTTGTTTATTCAGTGTCGCAAAAAAGKTCTACAGATTTCTACAGARAAACAGAAAAGGTTTCAGCTTATCCAGATAACTATGGARAATTCTAAGTGTARTTGAAGCCAGTTTTCTSAAAATCGCATTTTTGCCAAAACTCTTATTCCCATTTAAACACTSCTTCTAATCCAAATWTCKATGGAAACATAAGAAAATGATTTGGAAGTTTTTCGCACGATTTCAATTTTTATAAACCTCATTCTGTTATAAAAAAGTTTCARCCTCATTCTGGTCTCYTTTTYTCTGAGCTAMTTTTGCTGCTATTGCTTTGCTAAATMTATTGAAAGCTTAAGATGTTACCTGAAAGRTRAAATTTTTGGTCAACAGTTTGGGAAAAACCACTGTTAGTTAATGGCTAAAATATAGCCAAAGTTTCGGCTATATTTTAGCCATTAACTCAGACTGTGACTGCCCAGAGAGTCTGGGATTGAAAAATYATCTTAAWTGAAAATCGCTCACGACAAAGTGTAGTTTGCTGGATAATTGCGTATATTTGAATTTTCTCGAASCAAACTTGCAAAAAGTTTTTWAAATCCTTTGCCAAACGMTGGGAATTAAGTACARAAATATGCTACTGAAAAATGCCGGTTCTCGAATTTAACTTTTYATGSGCATTTTTTCGATTCAGTTTGGTGGCAGAAGCACTAACCTTTGCGTCAGATAATTTAGGAGATTCTTTCGATTTCAGCAAACTGGAACGATTTTTAAAGTACTGGCTTCTTTCCAAGTCGAAACTGTATTCTAAAAAACACCATTTTTTTCTTTTTTTCTAGCTGAACTCGCGTGACTTTACCAGGCATTTTATGAGCATAATTTCGGTTCCCGTCCAATAAAAATTACAAACTTTAACACTTTAGTTCATGCGAATGTCTCTCCTTTGACATTTTTAACAATAACACCTTGATTTGCAAATACCTTCTCCAAAAGGATTTTAAAAAACCCTGTCTAGAAATCAACAATTTTATTTCCATTAAACTTCAACAAATCGCAGAAGATTCTTTTAACATTCACGTCAACCTTGGTGGGTTCCGACGCCGAAAATTCCTTAACTTTCTTCAGTAGGATTTTGAGGATTCCGCCCACATCCAGACTGGCTGGACTCAATGCCGTTTTGATCTGCTCCACCAATTTTTGATATTTTTCCACGTCGCCCGAATTGAGGCATTCGAAGATCGGCCAGTTGTTCTCACAAGCCTCACAGGTGCAAGTGAACTGGTAGAGCTTCCATAGCTGGTGGCTTCGCACCAGTTTGGGGTATTCAGCAAAATTGAAATTCCTGCAAAATTCCCAAAATCTTAAAACGTGGAAAGTCAGTTCAATTGAGCTGTTGCGATTCGTTACCGGTATGTTAGAGTGCAAGATTCTCCACTTTTGATATTTCTAGCAGCTTTCAGTACTAGAGTCCCTCCATAGAAGACCGGAGTAACGTTTCCATAACAATGATGGTTCAGCAGGCTGGAAAAGGCATAAATCGCCTCGGCCACTTCATGGAACTCGGTGTCTATGGAGTTTTTCTTGGTCTTTTCCACCGAAATTTTATTGAGGGTGGTGTTGAAGTAGTGGTGGAACAGCAGCTCCTTGAGGCGTTCGCTCGAGATTTGAGTTTTGGAGAAAAAGTCGGAGTATTTGGCCAGGAAATGGTCGATAATGCAGGCTTCATTTGCTGCCTCGAAGAGATCGCGCACCGATCGTTTTTCCTTGTTCGTTTGTAGTTCCTGGATTTCTTCGTATCTGGATTAAAAAGTTGGATTGTGTGGTGTGAACAAATTTGGCGTTATCCAGATGACTTACCGATCTGATTTGTAAACGGCGCCATCAAACTGGCCATTTTCGCTTCCATCGATCAACTGCTTCAAGCCCTTGAGGACGGTTTTTACACTCAATAGTTCATTGAAGTCGAACTGGCATAAATCGCACTCGTTGTAATGGTATGAATCCCTTGCAGTATTTTTGCATTTGTCGCTGCAGTACAGGGTGGTTCTACAGTTGGGGCACGGTATGAGATTATAGCAAAGTTCCAGACATTCGTGACAATGCAAATATCGCTGGGAAGGTTTGGTTCCTATTGCTACCACATATGGCTTTTCTACTGCGATGATTTCCCCAGCTTCAATGTTAGTGTTGGCGACTATGTGCTTCCCCCCAAACTGATCCTTCTGGATATCAACCTGCTGGGAAGCACACGGAATTTTGGGGTTCGGATGGGGCAGAGTTGGTATGTCGTCGTGATATCTCCTAGGGGGCTGAGTCGGCTTCTGATCCTCTGCTAGAGTTTTTTTCTCCAACAACTTGGCCTGCAAGTCTGTAGGGTAATTGTTCTGCATCGCGCGCTCTATGTCCTATAAACAGCCTCATTTATGTACCTGGACTGATCTACTGTGTCAATAACTACCTGTATACATTCAGTGAAATAGCCTCGTTCAAACAACACCTCAGCTCGACCAGCGTAGGCCAGCCCCAACATTTCCGACTGGTCTTCGGCATTCGACACGCTCTGAGTGAAGGCCAGCAGGGCTTTTATGTAGTTTTTCTGCCGCAGCATTTTCCTGCCCTCATCTCTAAAGGCGAGGGCTTTTTCGTTGGACTTGGAGACTTTTCCTCCGGCCTCGATATCTTGGAATTGGGACGGGCAGTGCTTGTGCGCCAGCTCTTCTAGCATGTCGATGATGCGGATGTCGCTTTTGAGCGACAATAATTGTTCGCTGGTTATTTGGGGATCTTCAATTTCGCCCGGTGATAACATGATGGCCAACTATTTAAATGAATTTAATGAAGAAAATCGATTTTTCACTCTTAGTGTTTGATGGAGACGGTTTTGCTAGGGACAGTTAGGTCTGGAGGAAATTACAATAGGAGGAACACAAAAAATAGCTGAAGATGCGTTTAAAAAATTAGTGTGTTAGCAGTGGAATTTCGTAAAATCCGTAAAAGATACAAAGTAGGTTAAATTAGAGCAAAGTTTCCCATTTTGTGGCTTAACAAAATGGTGCTTCAAAATTCCGGCGACTTCCAGAAATATTCGAAGAAAACCCAAATCTGTTTAAGAGATTTTTGTTTTTTTCTGAACCGATTTCTACGGATGCAATTTTCCAACATTAACCGCTTTTTCGCAATATCGCAGTTATCATTTACAAGCTCAGAAAAAGGTAAAAATCGTTTGAGTAAAATTTATTTTTATTTTTGTATAAGTAGGTAGTCAAGATTGTCGAACTTTTAAACACCGTTTTGTTCAGCATAAAAACGCGGAACTTTTTGAGTTGATACTGCAGTTAATGGGATCTCAATTTTTGTAACATCCTGTATTTTGAAGATGATGCTTCTGATAGAAAAGTGCTCAAACTAACGAAACTATAGGCAGATTGATGTTCAAATCTTTGGAGTTTCACCTAAAACACCCCCGAAAGTGTTTAGAAATGCGAGAATTATTTTGCATCAGAAATTAAAGAAGAAGTTGAGGAAATATTAACATCTAGCAAAACATTTGTGTTCGTTTTAGTCTAATTTGTTTTGAGTTTTCTTGGGTTTGTTGATGTTTGTCTGCGTTTGCCTGTTAATTTAGATCTATGTTATTGTTACTGTATTATGAAGACGATGCTTCTAACGGAAAAGTGCGTAGGTTAACGAAACTACCGGCAGACTGATGTTGAGTCGAAATCTTTAGAACTTTCACCTGAAATACTTCCGAAAGTGTTAAGGAAATGCGAAAGGCGTCTTTGGCTTCAGAAAATAACGAAAAAGTTCGGAAAATATTATAACATCCAGCATTGAATAACATTTAATTCAAACAGGTTTTCAAGATACTACTTTTTTTTGTTTGTTACGTTTGTCTAATTTTGTTTGGCTTTGTTGATCTTTGTCTGAGTTTGATTGAGTTTTAAAGCTTAGTTTTCTAAGTTATAGGTTCATAAAAAATTAAAATTATTTCAACAAATTTGGGTATTTTCCGAATATTTCTGGAAGTATGTAGTCGGAATTTTCGAACTTTTAATACATCATTTAATTGAGCCCCAAAATGCGCAACTTTGCTCTTATTTAACCGACTTCGTATCTCTTACGGTTTACGAGATCCCAATGCCTCGAAGTTATGACTCCTTGTATTCTAAACCGATGTATGTTCAAGTCTTTAGAATTTTGTTTCCAAATACTGCCGCAAAAAAAATTAGGGAAGAAAAAGGAAATCTTTAGCAGTCTCACCTAAAATACTCCCGAAAGTGTTGAGTTCGTGTAGGTTTGTTTGGGTTTACTTGGGTTTGTTGCTGTTTGCCTCAGTTAATTTAGATTTGCGTACATAAGTGCGGGTTTATTTCAATTGATTTGCCTCTGTACTGCAGTTTTCGCAATTTGCAATTTAGGACAAGATTTCAACAGATTTTGCCTAATTCCTTAATGGTTTTCAGTCAATTCATCTACAAATGCTGATTGTGCACCGTTGCTTAATTAACGTCGCATGTACGTTCTCTTCTAAAGGAAATCGAAGAAATAAAGGCGAATATCCAACAGTACGTTCATTGTTTAATTATTTAACTATCAAAGGAGCTGCTAATACATAACTCCTTAATTCTAGCATGATTTTTATTTGATCTAAACGAACGAAAATGTTGCATTTATTAATAAAACAGCAACCAACAAATCTGTATTCAAACATGATGCGTTCCTCTAAAATTAGAAAACTACTTCAGGAAAGCGGGTAAAGGAGTGCTGAAACCTACTTGTCTATGTTCCAGTTTCGACACATTTTCCTGTTAGTGTTTGAATGTTGTTAAGGCTTTACCGATGATTGCTGATCAATGTAGGCCGCATAAAAACAGAAAATAGTGCCAAAGGTCATTTTCATGTGACTATTTACAGTATGCTTAAGACTTCAGTATTTGTGCCAGTAAAGTGTTCCAGAGCATTAATTAGCGTTGACATTATTAGTATTAGTGGCTCTGAATCAGGGGGAAGATGGTTTTTTTCCTAAATTTTCATGAGTTTTTTCATTGTTAATAGTTAAGCAAATGCCAGTCGTTAGAAGCGTAAAGTTGAACGAAATCAATCGCAAATATCTAAGCAGATGTAGGATTATTTGGAATTAAACTGGAACAACCGCCAAAAATAATGCGTTAACAGGCAGTTCAAGGATGACGAAATGAAAAAGATCTAAAATAGAAAATAACGTAAACACACAATTTTTGCGGTGCCGACACTCAACATTGTAGGTGTATTTGGTGCAGATACTTTACCTGTTATCAACTATATCTGGCAATGTTGGATGAAAGTCGATCCAGCTTCGGATCTAGGGGCACTTGTAAGACCGAGTTACGTAAGCTACTGACTCCGGAAAATGATTGGCGAGTCTCTGAGTTTTAATTCGGAAAAATAACCGGTCGAGGGGGGTCAGATCTTGGCTATGTGCCAATATCCGAATTACGTGGACCACTTGTAAGTCCAAAAGCATCTCTTCACTTGAAAACTTTAAGCGTTTTAATTCAATGATTAAACCCATTAATAAAAGTCAAAAGATGGCAAATCCGGTGATCTTTCCGGCCAATGCACAGCTCCCTTATAACCTCGCTAAATTTACGCATATTTTGCATTTGGAAAGGGGTTTTGTGGGTAAAATCTCAAACAACTAATTCATTTAGTTCATATTTATTAAGTCGGGTAAAAGCCAGGAAATCATTACATACAGCACACCTAATAAGTATCTTTATTTTAGATGCTAGACATGCAAATTATTCTACATTCGATTTATGCTTAAAGTCCATTAAGTAGCGAGGAATTATTAATATACATATAGTCAATGCGTTGCTTACTTAAGTCTTGCACACCGAAACTTGAAAAAGACAAAAATGGAATGTCTAATATTTACTATCGTTAAAACTGAAATTAAAAGTGAATTCATTGCTGTTCCTCTGTTGCGAAATAGTCGAATAGCCGAAAATACGAATTTTTCGATAATTTAAAATTAATCGAATACATAAAATTACCGACTAAACACAACTTAACTACACTGGTTTTCATGTCAAATTGGTGTTAAATTTGTAATTTAAAAGACTTGAAACATGGTTGCTTGAATTTGGAAAACAAATTAAAAATTTGAAGAATTAAAAAAATCAGTACAACTCATGACGGCGTAACAATCAAAATTGTGCTGTGGATGTTACCAGTTACATTTGGTATAAAATTGCATTAACAAAAAGCTATATGAAAATAGATATTTTCAAAAAATCGATTTAAATCAAATACTCACAGCTGTCAGTTTTGGATGCCTTCTACATACCGTAAAAATTTCAAGCTGCTTCTTACTTTGGTTCAAAAGTTATGAATTTTTTTAAAAGACCCTGCAGCTCTTGAAAAATCGTCAATTTTAAACCTACATTTGCAACGTCGGTAAAAATCACTATCCAATGCGATTCCAATCAAATGAGTAGGGTTTTCACAGTAAAATGTGGTCCAAAGACTATAAAAATTTCAACTTAGTGCTCGGTTTCGTTTAAAAGTTATGAATTTTTATAAAAGGCCCTGCAGCTCCTTGCAAAATCGTTCATTATTCATCGTTATACCTTCAGTTGCGACTTTGGCAAAAATAACAATTTCGTGCGATTAGAATAAAATTAATAGGGTTTTCAGACTGAAATGTGTTTTATTGATTCGGAAATGTTCAACTTAGTACTATGTTTTGTTCAAAAGTTATGAATTTTTCAATCAGACCTTGTAGATGCGTGGAAACCGTCGTTTTGCGTCAGAATTGGCAATAAATTACAAAAATCAGGATTTGCCGCGATTTAAATGAAATTCTCACAGCTTTCAGTTTGAGATGCTTTCTATAGACTCAACAAATTTCAAGTTGCTGCTTGCTTTGGCTTAAAAGTTATGAATTTTTATAAAAGGCTCTGCAGCTCCTTGCAAAATCGTTGATTTTATACCTCCGTTTGCAACTTTGGCGAAAAAAATAGTTTTGTGCGATTAGAATAAAATTAATTGGGTTTTCGGACTGAAATGTGTTCTATAGATTCTGAAATTTTCAACTTAGTGCTAGGTTTTGTTCAAAAGTTACGAATTTTTCAACCAGACCTTGTAGATGCGTGGAAACCGTCGTTTTGGGTCAGAATTAGCAAAAATTGACAAAAATCAGGATTTGCCGCGATTGAAATGAAATTCTCACAGCYTTCAGTTTGAGATGCTTTCTATAGACTGTGRAAATTTYAAAATGCTGGTTGTATTTGTTTAAAAGTYATGAATTTTTAGAAGATCCTGCAGCTCCTGAAAAATCGTCGATATGCACCTTTGGCAAAAATCACGATTCGGTGCGATTTGAAACAAATTATCAAGGCTTTCAGGTTCAAGAGTGTTCTATAGACTCTACAAATTTCAACCTAGTGCTGGTTTTRTTTTCAAAGTTAGAGAATTTTAAAGCAGATGCTATGTAGCCAGCTGAAAACCGTAGTTTTTGAACMAGAATTTGGAAAAATTATCAAAAATCCGGATTTGGCCCGATGAAATTAATTACAATTGAAATCGCGCAGCTTTCGGTTTGAGATGCTTTCTAGRCTCCAAAAATTTCAAGTTGTTGCTTGCTTTTATTTAAAAGTTATGAGTTTTTAAAAAAGACCCTKGAAWRCYGTCAACTTTGCACGTTTGCAAAATCACGATTTGGGGCGATTTAAATGAAATTTWAAAGGTTTYGAGACTGTTGAAATKAAATTTTCAAGTTGCTAGTTTTCAAATATGGACAAAATTACACTGTTTAATTCAATTAGCAATAAGTTTGGACTTATGGACTTGGTAGAGCAAAGAGGAAGATTTTTCGCGGAACAKTCCATCATGCATGCCGGAACATATTTCCTAATCTTCCTTCAAGCATATGCAGATTCAATACCTAAAATAGTACTGAAGTGTATGAACGAGGAGATTGACCAAATATTCAGGTAACATTCCTAAGCGAAGGTTAATCGCTACCTTCCAGTCTTCCCAAAATTGCACAAAATGTGGCAAATACAGAGAAATAGTATAGATGGTCGCATACACCAGAAATTGGAATTTCTTGGACATAGGAAAAAAGAAATAGGGAAGTGTTTAAGATTGATGGTAGTAAATTGTGACCAAATCAAAAACACCAACAGTTAGGACACATAGGAGCCCAAATAAGGAGTAATAATGCAAAATAGATAGCAGGGAGAAGGAAAAAATGGTTGTGAAAGAACTAGAGAGAATGGTTGAAGTAGAGCAGTAAATAAAATGAAGCGAGCAGAGCAATGATCAGCGATAGAAGAAGCGGTTAAAGCAGAAAAGTTGTGATCGGGATTCCATATCGTAGGTAACTACTGGCTGTGATACGATACAAAAACGACATATCACACCAGAAGTTCCTTCAAGCCAGAATCCCTTCTTCTGTTTGCACCTTCACTGGCTGCTCCAGGTTCCTGTTATCAAAGCAATATAGAAAAAAAATTGAAAGCATTCCCCATAACGGTCCCCTGCAGAAACCGTTAGGATTAGGCGACTAATAGGGGCATTTTCGCATATACTTGCCTGATCACCAGGCGACGAAAAATCCCTCGTTGAATAGTCAAATACATTGTGCTTTGCTGAACCAGCTTTATGACGTATAAAGGACTCATACAACTAGATCACCAAAGAACAATGATGGAGATTGCTCCGGCTTCAACCTGTTGAATACCATGACCTGGTGGATGCGCCCAGTTCTCCGGAATGCAGCAGGAAACGACAGAAAATCAGCAGCAGCAGAAGAAAGGTCTCGTGTTACAAGCGAGTGTTCGATCTAGTCACAAAAGCAAACACACATGCAACATTAGACGGAACACAAGCTTGCATCAAGAGCGTGTACAGAGAGAGGTTATAGACGACACCGATCCATCATGGAATAGATCTAGAAGCCTGGCATTTAGCAGTTGTTTCAAGCTCACCTGTTGCGCAAATGGTTTTCCCACGAGATGGCCGGCATTTGTGGAGAGTTTTGGGCGGCACTGATGCAAAATGATGGAGATTTTGATGGAAGCACGTGGCTATTTTGTGTTATCGGCGACGAAATTCGCGAGGCAAATGGACGACGAGAAAGGGCGATGGCGGGAACGGAACACTGAGCGGAGGGAGCGACATTCC